ATAAATAACAAGGTCATCCTAAAATTTGATCAAATACAGCTAAATATAGATAAAGTAGGGAAAATTATGAAATAAAATCGTTTTCTATCGGACTAAAAAAAATTCCATATTAAAGGGGCAACAATACTTAACTCGATGATAATCGTGTGGCTTTCGTGGATTTTGGTATTAGTTCCCACGTTTATTGCTTACCTACAGTGGTAAGTTCAATTGGATATATTACATATTGTTATTGTTTTTAATTAACCATTTTTAGCATAAATAGAGATATGGTCTCCCCTACTAAAAATATAATATTTGATGGTGAATAAACTACGTTACCCATGGTGAGGTAGGCAATGTTTTACAAATTAACTCCCACCTCTACTTATAGAGCAACCATGCAATCATTTTACATATTTCTTATCTAATTGTTGACATAATTTAGTTCTAGAACACACATAAAAGAATATCTAAAAATATTTAGGGTTAATTTCATTTACGTCCCCTGACCTTTGACCATATCTCACTTACATCCCCTCTAAATTTTAATATTCCACACACACCCCCTAACCTTTGATTATACGTATCAAGTTACCCCCTCCGTTAAACAACTAACGGTCTTGGCTTATGTCAGCATGATAAAATTGTTAGAAGGTCAATTTTACCCTTCCAATATGTAAATTGACATCTTTAACTTCATTTACATATACACAATTACAAAACTACCCCTAATTTGTTAACTCAAATGTTCAAGAATACCCTTCTTTTCCCCATATATACATCAATATTAACTTTCATATATTATCAAGTTTTTTTAAAAAATAAAAAACTATAACAGGATGTAGTTCCTTGAATAAAAAGATTAAATTTTTGAAGTTGAAGCATTTGTATCAGCATTATGATTTCTGAAAGCTATCATTTGAACTATACAAAAAACAACAAAAATGAACTAGTTCTAAAATTGAGTTAAGGTAAATATGATCACATCAAGATTCAAGACAACAGTACAAAAGATTTAACAGAAAAATTAAGGAAATGATGATTTCTGGAAACAAAGGGTGATCAAAGCCCTAATTATGAAATGAATACAGTTAAAGTTTTTGCTGTCAAATTGTGAAAAGGGATCTTAGGGTTTTCCATATGTGAAATGTCAGACAAAAATTGAACTGAATTATCTCCTTCATCGTGATCTTTCCACTTGAATTCAGATCGATCAGGAGTAAGAGACATATATAGCAAATAAAGTAAGCTCAAACCAAAACCCTAGATTTCATATAAGCTTATTCTCAAATACAAATCATGATACATCCATTAGTAACCTAATGATACAAAATCTAATTCACAAACCTCGTTGTCTGAAGAGATACAAGGATTAGCTTCAAAGGTCATTTCCTACTAATATCCAAGCTTAATAGTCAATTAAAGACAAATTAAGGGCCTCTTTGTTATGTATTTTACTTTGGTGTTTTTGTTGCAGGGCTCCATTTCAGGCCCAAAAACATGTTTGGTAGCCCTTGTTATGTTTTAAACAGTACAAAAATATTGTTTTAAATAGTGAACAATTTTGGCCCAAAACTGAAACACCATTTCGGTGTTTTTTGTTGTTTCTGAACTGTAGCCCAATAAAAAGAACTGTAGCGCTTGAAGTAAGTTGGGTCTTGAACTGTAGCGGAGGAAGTAACTTTAAAACGTCGTCTGCAACATTTTGGCCTGATCTTTTCTCTCTCCTCTGAAACCTAGAGAAGCGATTTGGGAGACGATTTGGGAGGCGAAAGGGAATCTGAAACCCTAGAGAAGACGATTTAGGAGGCGACGAAAGGGAATCGCAAGCACGAAGTCATTAACAAGCACAAAATCGAAAGCACGAATTGTGGTGAGTACTCTTTCTTCTATTTCTCTCCTCTTTAAAGACTGTGTCTTCGATTTAGTTGTGAAACAAGAAAACTGTGCTTCTCATGTACTCCATAAGAACTATATTCAGTGATTTTCCCTATCTCATCTCATCTTTAGAAGTTGACCTAAAGCCCTAAATTTTTCACTGCCTTCCTAGATCCAGATCTTCTGTGATTTTCTTTTTTTCTTTTTATTTAATTTTTTTTTTTTTTGCATTCTGTTCAGATCTTCCTTTGATTAGATGTAAGAATATGTCTATATTTATATATATATATATATTAATGTATATATACACGCACTTACAAAATTCAACTCTCAGTGCTATATACAAGGTGGACTACTAACAAGTAATAAAGATCCAGAAACAGTTCTATTGAGGACCCCAAAACTGATAAATTAATAAATTAGAACAAAATACAATATAAGAGTAGGCCACTTACAGAGGAAAATGTTGAAGAAATATGTAAAGCTTTGGAAAATGATTCTTGGTTTTGTAAGTTTAAAGAAAATGATTCTTGGTTTTGTAAGTTTAAAGAAAATGAAAGGATCAGAGAGTTTATTTCATCTAATTAATAAAGGGAATGGCAATATACAATTTTACATATACATTAATCTACAGTCTCATAAAAACTGAACTTAAATTGCAATAAAGCTTTAAAAATGGTTGTAACGAATATAGGAATTGCAGTGGTCGGTTCTTAATTTCTCATAAAGAAAAGGTAATGTGAATATTGAACACTGTAATATTTTTACAATTCACATTTTATTATTTTGAACTTTTTCATTTTTTCTTCTAATGGTCATAACAATTTATGGATGCAAATTAGAAAATATTCTTATAATTTTCTTTAGTCATTCCAACAATTTTAGAGAGAAAAAAAATTCCGACAATTTTAGGTACATCAATACCATATCTCTCTATACTACTATATAAAATGTCAATAGAAATTTTATTTCTTATGTTTTAACTAATATAATATATACTAATTATTGGTAATATATATATATATATATATATATACTAATTAGTTTGTAACATTTTTTAATATAATTAAAGGCTGTTAGTCTATCTAAATTCCTAGTCATTATAAACTTATTTAATGAATAATGAATGAAAGATTTTTCACTCTACAAAGTGTATCCATCTGCATACATATTTTTTATGCACATTAATTTGTATGATAATTAATCAAATATTTCATTTTTAATGAGAATAAATCACGTAATTACTTTATATGAATTCTCTTCTCTAATTTTTTTGCACACATATATAGATGAGTTATGCATATTTATAGTGTAATTAACTATTATTTTTTCATTTAGGTGTATTTGTGCCGTTGAATTTTTCTTATAATTTTTTAAAGATGGTCTTAATTTATCTAATTAAGAGAATTTTTAAATTCACTGCAGTATTTTATGAGACCAGTAATTGATTTTCTTCTTCCTTTTTCTATGTTTTTTGTTCGTGTTGGAAGCTGAAATATGTTGAATATATAATTTTCTCTAAGCAAATGGTAATATGTTATTTGGTGTGTTATAATTAAATTTCATTTCATTTATAACACATTTACATTTCATTTACAGAATTTTGCTATGTTTCTGTCTTTGAAGTTTCCTATAATATTTTTGGGGTTTTAGTTTATCTAATTAGAGAACTTTTTGAATCACTTTTTTTTTTTGTTTTTTTCTTCCTTTTCCTCTTTTAATCATTCTAGTTTTGATGGAAATCTTATTGGTGAATTTGTTTGTTTGTGTTTGGATAACTAGTTTGCTGTATAAAGATTGAATGCTGCATAAAGATTGATTTGTGCTAATTTTGCTCTATAATTTCTATTTGGGGGGTTCATATGGTGTGTGGATTTTTTTTTTTTTAATTATGAATGGTATTGGGCCAAAATACTTTCACAATTTCTCTCTAATTGTGGTTTTCTTTATTTCCAATATACAATATATAGATGCAGCATATTAATACCTTATTAAACTTTCTGCCTAATTTCTCACTTGTCATAAAGTAATTTTATGTGGGTAATGAAATCAGCCTAAATCACAAATATGTGACACTCTGTGGGTGCCAATTGTGTGAGGAAGAATTCATTTACCAATTTGGGAAGAGAGAATTCATGACTTTGATATAATTTTTTATGATTGATTGCAAGATGGTCTTGTTATAGTCACCTTTTGTCTTTGGTTCAAATTCAAGATCAATGGTTAACTTTAAAGATGAAAATGGTTAGCTTTGTAATTGTTTAAGAACATAAGTATTTATCGAAAATTTGAATACTAGATGATATATGCGTGTTTATTGAATTGCATGTAGAATATTGAATAATTTTTTTTGTAATTTCAGGTTCGGAATCGTTTGGGTTTGAAGAGGTTGATTTTGTAAAATTTTCAAAGGTAAATACTCAAAACTTGATGTGTACATAACATACAGTAAGTATAGTATATATGGTATAATAAATTATTGTATTATTTTCTTTAATTTTATCTTCCATGTTGTACACTTGTACACCCTTACTATGAAAAATAGAAATTAGTTTAAAAAAAACACTTATGAGAATAGTGATTTATATTCATCTAATCTTTTTGTTCAGGAGTATGTGTTATTTTAACTAAGTGGGTTATCTAGATAAGGTTTGGCTTGGAGAACTGTTTCGATTCCTATTGTTATGCACCTGTTATTTTTTAATTTTTAAGCATAAATTACACTCATTTTCATCTTTTTATTTCTGTGTAGTTAGATTGTATCTATTGCTTAGTGTCATGATATAATTCTGTTTAGTTTACCACTAATGTTTTGTGTTGTTCTTGATTACCCATAGTTGAAATTGTGTTTCTTTATTTTTTATATTTTGATTCAGTATTCTTTATTAAATGTGTGAACTTCTCCAGCACTTATGCCATATTAACTATATGTACGTTTCCTAGGAACTAAGTAAAACCTAAAATCATAAGCTCTTTCTAGCAAATGTATAAAAGGGGAATAAACATATTCTAATAGTATAAACATTCATGAATCAGTAGTTGTGATAGAGTAACTTTAATACCATCAATAGTTTTTCCTAGTTTAATATTATTTTTTTTTGTTATTAATTATAGTGTTGTTATTAATATGTTAGATGAATATGAATGTTGAGAATGTGGAACAATGCGGTGATTCTCTCACAGTTGAAGAAGTGGTTGAAGTTACGAACGATGGAAAATTGTTATGGGATGAGTCACTCATTGAAAAGTTCGTGAATATTATGGTGGAAGAAGTTAAGGCTAATAATCGTAGTGGCACAACATTTAGTAAAAGTGGTTGGAGTAATTTAGTCAAACAAATGAATGTTCAAACGGGGAGAAAATTTGGTTTAACCCAACTTTGGAATAAGTTTAATGGTTTGAGGAAAATTTATACTGAGTTTAAGAAATTATTATCGGAGACTGGCGTGGGATATAACCATGAGACGGGCATGGTTATAATTGAGGAAGAGAGATGGGACAGGTTGTGCAAGGTTAGTAATTTAATTATTAGTCATAAATAAATAATAAAATCTTATATATTATTGGTTATGTGGTTAATATTGTAACAAAATTTGTAGGTTGTTACGAATGCAAATAAGTATAAAAAGTATGGATGTAAGCATTTTGACAAGATGTCGACTATATTTGGGGACACATATGCAAGAGGGATGCATGCCCACCCATCCACTACAGCACCACCCACAATTATTTTGCCCACTCCCAATGATGACGATGATGAGGAAGAGGGTTGTGAGGTCAGTCCCCCACCTTTACGTAAAGGTAAGAAAGCCAAAAGAGATGCTTTATCTCCTGGTATAGCTGCACTCTTGTCAAACATGAATGAGAATTCTGAGAGGAGAGCTGAGAGAATGGAAGCTGCAACAGAGAAAGCGGCTAAAGCATCTTCTACTTCTACTCGTGTAGCTTCATGTGAGAAAGGAGATGATGAAGTTCTCTCTCCCTAAAAAAAGGATAGAGATTATGAAATGTTTGACGCCTCCATGCTCCTTTTACAAAAAATACCTGGATTTGAGATGGCCCAATTCGCTAAGGTATCGAAGTTATTACATGATTCTGAGAAGTGGCAGAAATTTTTTCTTTCGGCACCTGAAGATGTAAGAATTGGTTGGGCACTGAATGTTTGAGTTTTTCTTTATGGATGATTGTGTTTTGTGTCATCGTTTAACTTATTATTATCTCACATTTGGATGACTGTAATAACTTAAATATTTTTATTATCTCACATTTGGATGACTGTAATAACTTAAATATTTTTATTATCTCACATCTGGATAACTGTAATAACTTAAATATTTTTATTATCTCACATTTGGATTACTCTAATAACTTAAATATTTTTATTATCTCACATCTGGATTGCTGTAATAACTTAAATACTTTTATTATCTCACATTTGGATGGCTATAGTAACTTAAATACTTTTATTTCTTGGATGCCTGTTAGTACTCAAATACTTTAATACCATTATTTAAATGTTTGTTTTATTATTTAAATGTTTTGTTTATTATTTAATTGATTTGCTTATTAACTTAAATGTTTTGCTTGTATTAAATCTTTAAATAAGGCAATGGATGTGTGGAGCAATATAAGAAGAATAATTCAATTATCTGACGATGAGGAGGATAATGAGAGTGTCTTAATATTTGCTGCTCTTTTAGAAGAGCAGAACTTCTATCAAAAGAAGCGTTGTAGGGATTCTATTTTACAAGGGGAAACATATGTTATGGAGATTTTAAACGGCCATAGAGAAAGATGTTATGAAAATTTTAGGATGTACCCTGAAGTTTTTAGAATATTGTGTAATACCCTGAAAGGTATAGGGCTGAAGGATTCTAAATTTTTAACTGTTTATGAACAAGTGGCAATCTTTTTGCTCACTTTATCTCATAATCAAAGGAATCGTGTTGTAGCAGAGAGATTTCAACACTCCACTGAAACCATTTCTAGACACTTCCATGCTGTGTTGCATGCAGTATGTCAGTTGGGCACCCATATCATTACCCCTCCTAATTTTTCTGTGATTCCGAATAAGATTAGAGAGTCTTCTAGGTTTTACCCTTACTTCAGGCATTGTGTGGGAGCTATAGATGGAACCCACATTCCTGCAACTCTGCCAGCAAGTACACAACTTCCATTTCGTGGTAGAAAGGGTTATACCACACAAAATGTAATGGCTGTATGTGACTTTGACATGAGGTTCACATATGTGCTAGCTGGGTGGGAAGGCTCAGCTAATGATTCGAGAATCCTAAATGAGTGTACTGAAAATGAGGCAATGAACTTTCCAGCTCCACCAGCAGGTAATATTTTTTTATAAATTCACTTAATATATGGTTAGTTTATCATACTGTATATATCTTTATGTATTCTAAACATGGCAGGTAAGTATTATTTGGTGGACTCAGGGTATGCCAATAAGTCTGGTTATTTGGCCCCATTTCGAGGTCATACTTACCACTTTCAGAAATACCGTAGGACTAGACAACCTCGTGGTCGAGAGGAAGTGTTCAATCATAGGCATTCATCTTTGAGAAATATAATTGAGCGATGCTTTGGGTTATTGAAGATGAGATTCGCTGTTTTGAGGGCAATGCCTCCTTATAAGTTTTCAACACAAGTATTGATTGTAATGGCTTGTTGCACATTACATAATTTTATCAAAAATCAGCATCAGCCTGATGACATATTTGATGGTAATGATCCTCTTCAAAGTGATGGTGAAGATGATGAGATTGTTGAGCATGTGCCTTCGGCTCAGCTTCAAGAAATGGATCAATTGCGTAATACTATTGCTGATTAGATTTGGAATTCTCTTCAGCACTCTTGATCCTTCTGAAGGTGATGGTATATTTTTTCTTTTATATGTAATATATTTGTTGCTATTGTGAGCTTGCAATATATATATGTAATATAAATATTTTTTGCAGATATATAATTCAACTTAAATGCTATTATTGCAGATATGAAGTGTGTTGATGCTCTCTTGAAGGCCACATGTGCTGTTATGAAGATGATGTGTCGTTGCCATTGTTATCCACTTTATGAACTTCTTATTAATTTTTAGTGACAACTACGTATTGTTAATGCTTTGTTCCAAACATTTTATGTACAACTTAAACGTGTTTAATTTGTTGGTTGAATATTTCAGGACTTGTAAATGTTATACACTCTATTTCAATTATGCTTTCAATTGAGTTTGTTTTTATTTTAATGTTGTGTTGGACTATACAGGTATCAGGATAATAAAATTGAAGCAGGTTATTGCAAAGAACTTGTAAATAGGTTATTGCAAATTTTTTTTACAAATGTTGACTCTCATGTAGTATAATAAAATGTGACTAGAGATTATTTATTTTTAATATTGAGTTCGACTATACAGGTATAATGATAATAAAATTGAAGCAGGTTATTGCAAAGAACTTGTAAATAGGTTATTGCAAATTTTTTTACAAATGTTGACTCTTATGTAGTATAGTAAAATGTGACTAGAGATTATTTATTTTTAATATTGAATTGGACTATACAGGTATAATGATAATAAATTTGAAGTAGGATATTGCAAATAACTTGTAAATAGGTTATTGTAAAAATTAATATATATATAATTTGGTGGGGGTTTACATTTTTTTACAAAGAGAAGGCAAGAATCTGTAATTTGGAGTTAAATTCCCACCAGTGCAGACTTACAAGAGTCGAAAATTATTATCAGAGCTGTGTAATATTTTTTTTTCTTCTTTCGCTAATGCGAAAAATGAACAAAAGAATGAAATACAAACCTATGGACAATCATCACCAAAGGAACAAACTATACCAAGAAATTTCAAATAACTTGAAGTGTAATTTCAGATCAAGATAACATGCAAAATGGTTGAAATTATTGGTTCAATTATTAGAACTAACATTCTACATTTTCGCTAAAGCAGTTGCTTCTGTAATTACACTTTGGTTATATATATATATATGTGTGTGTGTGTTTGTGTGTTCAAATTTCAATAAATTTATTAAAAATATATAGACTATTTATATAGAAATAAATTTATAAATAAATTTAAAATTTATAAAAATAAATTAAAAACAATGATAACCAAACATATTTTTTATTTCTGTTTTATTTTGTTTACAACAGTTGGAGTTACCAAACATGTTTTGTTTTTAAAATTCTTGAAACGCATGACTTACCAAACGTGTTTTGCATATTTTTGTTTCTGACATTTCTACAGCAAAACAACATCGTTCCCAAACGTGCTTCCGATTTTTGCCAAAACACTCTAATAGTAAAAACGCTATTTCTGTTTTAGTCAAAAACAAAATGTCTAAAATAAAACGCATGCCAAACGGGCCTTAAGTAAAAATACATAAGCCATGCAAATGAAAAAATCTATTCCCCGTCCCCATCCCCTCCTCAAATTTTATGTTCACTGGCGTCATCCTAATAGCAATTACAAGTTTCATATCTTTTTGAGAGAGAGGGTTTTTACTCCTTTCCGTCATGTTAGACAAAAATTCCTTCAAGATCCTCATCGCTGGCATCAAGGTCACTCGTCCGGATCTTCATCTGCCGGCTCCGCCTGGGTTCACCTTCGCGCCTCCAGACGTGCGAAGTCGCCGGATTCTGCCAGTCCCCGATCGATGACTACTCCGATGGATTACGGGGCTGTCCTCAGTAATTCTGCAGAGGTGGACGGCGCCCGTGGATCTGTCTCTGTTGTGCCGTGGGTCGATTACAAGTTTGGAGCAACTGGGTTTGTTAATATCACCGACGATGGCCGTTTGGGGTGTGACCGGCTTCTAGCGGGTGCTCCGGCGAGTGAATTCCTCTTCGTCATGTGAGGCAGAAGCCACTCCTCTCTGAGCTTCTATACGGCGACGACGCTCCTCTGTCTGTTTCTCGAGTGACCGAAAAACCTTGTCACCACAGTCGGCGGATCCGTTGGGAAAGATATTGCCGACATCTGACGGCTTCGCCGTACTCGCCGAACTGAAGTTCCCTTGAGGTGGAGCACAAAGTCCCAACTGTGAAGAAGCTTTGAGCCAACATGGACCCAATCGGTGTCGAGCTTCAGCGAATGGATCCAACCAACATTACCTGTACACGAAGTTCAGTCGAAACTGCATCACATGTACTTGCTGTATATGTGTATATATTTGTATGTAATGTGTATATATTTGTATGTGAGCAGGTGTTTTAGTCTTTTTCATTCTAACTCAAAATTTTTATAAGTATTAATAATATATCATTGATGGGCAAAATTATAAAATTACACAACTCCGTTGTTAAAGTTAACGACTATCATAATGAAAGGAGGTAGGTGAGTATAAGTGGGATATGGTCAAAGGTGAGGGGTGTTGATGAAATTAATCTAAATATTTATTAGGTTACCATACAATTTTAGAGTATTAGAGAAAATGCTATATATGCCTACACAACTCTAGATTTTGATTCTCACTGCTTCCTGCGACTTGCTGTTAGACTTTTACTTGGGTCTGGATAGATACTTGTTTTTTAGGTAAAAGGGTAAGCTTGGATAGATACTTGTTGGTGCCTCTCAATGTTATTATTTTGAATCAATCATTGTAAAATGTCACATTCTCATTCCGCCAATCTCATATGCACTAACTTTCAAAAAAAAAAAAAAATTCTCATATGCACTAAGGTCTGATTTGATATGTGTTTTGATTTTGACGTTTTGCTTTAATGCTTTAATTTGAAACAAAATTAGTGTTTTGTTGTAAAATATTTTGAAAAATAATCAAAAACATGTTTGGTAACGTTCATTTATTATAAGATTTTTAAAAACAAAAACATGAAAACATATTTGGTAAAAATATGTTGCAAGTTTGAAAAATATAATGATTAATTTAAAAATATAATTTAAGTGTTTTTTAAAAACCAAAAAATAAATAAATAAATACTATTCATCTCTACAATATCAAACCTTACAGTGCGGAAACATATATAAATACTAAATTGGTGTTTTGATTTTTTGCCATTATTCATAAAATGTTTTAGCATTATGCAAAACAAAATATTTTTTACCAAATATATTTTTTTCCCTATTCACTGCTATAATACTTGACAAAAACAAAAACTCAAAAAATAAAACGCATGCCAAACAAGCCCTAATTAAGGTGACCATCTGGCCTCAACAACATTGCTTGTGTTGTAAATATCAAGCAACCTAAAACCCAACCCTCTTTTCCTCCCTTCTCTCTTTGCAACCCCCAAACTCCTCCACTTGGGTCGTGTAAAGCTCTAAATTAAAACCCTTAAAAAGGCTTAAAAGGTAGAACACCCCTCTAATCAACAAAATCAATAAGTATTATAAAAATTAATAATTCATTATGTTCATCTATAAATATTTTACTGATGCACTTATCTAACAGTGAAGGAAAAAATAAATAAAATCGAATAAGAACAAAATCATGTATATACCAAGGGCTAACTTGATTATTCTCACTTTTCAAATAGAAAAGGTCGAGCTAGAGTGCAAGTATTTTAGTGGCAAATTAAATAGTGTGTGTCTTAGACATTAATTAATTGAAGACGAGAACGTAGGACGAAGTGAGTATTGTGAAAATTACATTAATAACCTCACAATCATAGGATTATTTTGGACATAGCTGCAGGTAAGGGATAATATTTAATCCTCTCCATAATTAAAGATTATAATTTATAAGCTCTGTTTGGTTAAATGCTTTAAAAACATTTCTTAAAAAACTTTGAATACATAAATAAAAAATAAATGACAATTCTCCATATTCAGACTTCTTTTTAACTCAGTTTCCAAATAATACTAAAATTGACAACCTTATAATTTTTGGATTGTTTTTAATTTGCTTTCAAATTGTTTAGCAACACAAAACTATTCCCAACCAAATGGATTGTTAGCTTTTTTAGCTCTCTACTTTTATAAATTTACAACCCACTTGAATATTATTTAATAAAGCAAATTGACCTAGTAATTACTCCTAAAAAGAGTATAGATTAAAGTAGTCTTTTGCTACAATTTTGAAAAACAAGATTCTTTTTTATGAACAATTGCGTCATTTCTTCTTTAAAAAAATGTTTGTTACTTTAATTGACCGCTACCTGAATAATATATGAAGCTAGAGGCTAGGCTCTCAATTTCTTCCAACATTGATAAAACTATTTATAAATCTTCAGCTAACCAACGGGTGACAAGTATGTGGTATGATGAGAGAGACTTTTGCAGAAAGTCAGCCAAACACGTTTCCATGTCGGAACTGGGGCGTGGCCAGCTGATTACTAATGGATGTAATTTATGGAGTAAAAAAATGAAAGAGACGTCACTTGAAAAATAATAATAATACAACAGTAATACATATATATATATATATATATATATATATCAATTAACCGACAAGTAGTAATATGATCACTTCAACGTATAACGACATATAATAATTGATTAGTAAAATACTTTGTGCATTCTCCATACGTAAGTATATACATATATACGCTCGCGCACACATATATATACATATAAAATTATATATATATATGTAAATAGGAATTAGGTTGGTGTATTCACAATTCAATCCACCTAATTCCTTCACCCCTCAAACAAGTCAAAAACGTGGATGTCTGAGGGCCACTTTCTTTTTCAACGTCCAAATGTTTTGTACATATGAGTTGTGGAGCTCCAGCCCTCAGTTCCATTTTCAGACCACAGTAAATATCTTTTTTCAATGTGTGTGCATATTGCATATACATAAACATATTTAAATTATATATATATATATATATGACAATGTACATGGGCTCAAACTGCATGGTTTACGCGGCTTAGCCACGTGGATGCATGTAAATTTTTATATACAATACCAAGTCTCATTCCTCCAGTTTTTTTGTACGTTTTTCTTTTTTTAAAACCAACCCTACCTAAATTCTCTAGTTGACCAATTGAATATATTTCTTTTTCATACTGTTGCATACACTTTTCTCTTCACCTGCTTAATTCTCAATTTCTCATCATATTTATAAATTAATCACCATTGACACCGATGATCATCCTTTTCATCTTCAAATTCTAAACATGGAATTTTTGCAAACCCCGTTAGGAGACACCCTAAGTGGTCAAAACATTATCGACCATCCTAACCATGGTATAGACTGTACTAGCACCATGATCATGATCAGCTCACCTAGAGCAAGTTGTAGTACTAATTCTCAGTCATCGTCCGATGATC